AATCCCCATATTTTGCCATATTTTCTGGGGTTTTGTCTTCCCCCCCACTTCCCATATTTTCCCATATTTTCTGGGGAATCGAGGATTAATTGTGTCTGTGTGTTTTTTCCTCTCCTGATGTACGTCGGTGTGCACGGGTCTTACGGCAGTCGCCGCTCGTCCGGGGAGCACGCCGCCCCTGGGCCGCGCCCCACTGGCCCTCTGCCGTCACCCAGAGGCTTCGCGAAGCTTGCTGTTGCTCCTGCTCCTGCTCCTGCTCCTGCCCCTGCTCCTCCTCCTCCTCCTCCTCCTCCTCCTCCTCCTCCTCCTCCTCCTCCTCCTCCTCCTCCTGAGACGTAGGAGGATCGGGAACGTCAAAGAGGGGTTTTTTGTTTGTTCCCTCGGGGGGTAAACATTCGGTGCCTGGCAGGGGGGGGGGGGCAGATACATCCCCAGGCGTGCCCTGTAATGTGTCCGGGAGGGTTCAAAAGCATGTCCGTGTTCGGGCGTTTGGCCGCGGGGGAGAAACGAGGTTCGAACTGAACTTGTCGCAAATGGTTTGGGATCACATGTTCGCAAACGACGTTCGGGCCAGCCCGAGATACCGCCCGACCGAGGTACAAGAGCGAGTTCGGTTCGGGGAAGGTGCCCTCATGTTTTTCGTGCTTGTCGGCTGTTCTCGCGCATCCTGGGGGAGGGTACCCTCGAATGTTCATCAGTTTGGCTGGCGAAGGGTCCCATGTTCTTGAAGGATTCGGGGGGCGAAAGGATATCAATGCCACGGCGCCGCGGGGGCCCCCAGGGCCCCATCGACGTGTTACTGTCGATGTACGCTGTTTTTTTTTTAAAGAAGAACGAGGGAGTAACACGCCGATGGGGCCCTGGGAACCCCCGCGGCGACGTGACATTGATACTCCTTCGCCTCCCCGAAGGGTTCTAAGCCTCCTTGATGGGGTCGGAGTAGACGGGGTCGGAGGATCGCACCGCATCGCCGCTGCATCGCCGATGCAGCTCGGTGTGGGGCCCGATTTGCTTCACGTCGACGTCGCCGATGCATCGCCGACGTCGGCGAGGCATCGCCGGTGCATCACCGATACATCGCCGATGCATCGCCGATGTATCGGCCATGCTGCGCGATCCTCTGACCCCATCTGTTCCGACCCCATCTGGGAGGCCTCTATCAAGGGAGAAACAGAAACACCCAGACAGGACAGTGGGCGTTCATGAAACGGCCCTGGGCGTTTAGTTATGAACAGCCCTGCCCCGTTGGATTCCTTCTTTTGGGGTGCGTTTGCTAAAAGGCTTTGCGTGTCGGGGTGATTACTGTGGGGGTGGATTTTCCGCCCTCTGATCGAAGACACCTCCAAGGATGTTCTTCTGTCCCAGGTCCGACCGTGCGTCCAATTTTGTTTTGTGCGTCAAGACCTGCGTTGCAGTTTTGTGTTTCCTGCGTTGCAGTTCTTGGTCTCCTGCTGACCCGGGTCTGGATTGACCCGGGTCAGAAGATCCCCGCAGAGATCGACTCTCCACGGCGGGCGCTGTCAGGAGAGAGCTCCCCGCCCCGCGGCCGGGCGCCGCCAGTAAGGCGCGCGCTTGCGCGCGGAAAAAGGCTGGGCGGCGCGCCCTTGGGGGGGAAGGCGAGAGGTCGGGCATGCCCCTCGACGGGACCCAGGCATGATCGCGGTGGTAAAACAAATCAGGACGGAGGGGGTTGGGCCGTGTTTCGGCCCCTGGGGGCTCTCGCCGGGCCTCGGACCGACAAAAAGCGATTCAGGATGAAAAACCAGTCCCGGCGGAAGGGTCGGGACTTCCTGGGGCCCCGCATTGAAAAAGTCAGGACGTCGCATGTCTGGGAATTCACTGTATATCTGTCGCGAAAGTCTTGGGACGATTTCTCGTGCTATTTGACTATCGCTGCTTTTTTGGGGGGGGTTGGCATTGTTTTCGTTTCTCCCAATATCCGCCTGCAGGAGTACATGCCCGACCCAAGAAACGCGAGAAGGAGCGGCGGCAGAATCGAACTGCCCCACAGTGGACTCTGCAGGTCCTGCGGCACATGCCACGCCTCTGTGCCCGCAGGCGCGACGGAGGGGAGTCGAGGTGGGGCAGGAGTCGAGTCTGTGGCCGATGCCCTGCTCGGGGCCCTCCGAGAAGGCGCGCCCGCCCTGCGTGAAGGCGCGCCCGCCCCGCGTTTTTCCCCTCCCCCCCCGCGGGCTCGCAGCCGAGAGAAGGGGGGGGTGGGACGGCCGCAGCCTGCGGCCCCCGCGGCGGGAGCGCGCGATGACGAAGCGGCCGGGCGACGTGGCCGAGGTTCGGAGGAGGAATCGACCACGCTCCGACGAAGGCATCTGCACACCACCGCCAGGCCAGGCCAGGGCCATCCTGGGCCCGAGGATGGCGTATACGCCCTCCTGGCCTCGGCCAGGAGGGTCTATACACCATCCTCGGGCCCAGGATGGCCCCGGCCTGGCACGGCGGTGGTGTATAGATGCCTTCTGCGTATACGCTCAAAGAAGAAACAGCGCCGTAAACATAAACTTTTGGCGCTCCGCGCGCATTCCTCTTGGATCCGAGCTGGGCGCCCCCAGCGGCGCCTCCAGCGCCGCCCCCGGCGCGCTCCGCGCGCCAGAGAGGGGGATTCCAGCGCAGATCCAAGCAATCCGCGCGAAGCGCCAAAAGTTTATGCTTGAGGCGTTTTTGTCTTCGTGAATACGCGTAAGTCACCGAGCGCGTTCCACTACTCGCCGAGTGCCCACTCGCAAAGACGTCCGAAAATAATCATGTCTTTCCTTTGTGGGATGGAGCGTTGATCCCTCGCAGCGGAACCAGGCCATTTGCGAGGAGTTACGTTGCGAGTAGTGGAACGCGCTTGTCGAGTAAGAGTGACCCTTCGCCGGAGTGAGCTTTGGTGCGGCTTCACCGGGTTACCCCCGCTCGCTGAGCGCGATGCGATAGCGGCTGCTTGCGTGCTTGGATTGGGCCACCTTGCGACCCCTTAGTCTGCGCACGAAGGGTCACTCTTGCCTGGGGTCACTCGCTACGTGTAGCCGAAGGAGTAGGCACCGGTACCGCTACACATCACTATCAACAGCGCCGTGTCTGCACGACACATCGGCTGGAGAAGTGCCGCCAGTGGAGGCGCACGTCCAGACAAGGCCACAGAAAGCAAGGCCAGTTCAGGAAGGGGGGAGTACCGGCTGACGACTGTCGTCGACATGCGTAGGTTATTCCAGATTTCGTAATAAAAGGGAGGGGGTCTCAACCCTCCCAGACGAGAAGTTTTAGACCCCCCCCGTGGGAGAACCCTCCAAAACATCGTCCCCAGACCCCCCAGGCCCTCCAAGATAGCCTGGAAGAGACCCCCCCCGAAATGAGACCCCCCTCCCTTTATTACGAAATCTGGAGTAACTATAGCGCGCAGGACAGACAGCTCAGCAGATCGCCCTCGCCCTCCTGAGGGGCGCCACCGCTGCCCCTGTCTCGCTTGTGCCTTCCTGGGCCCTCATGGGAGGCCCTCGTCTCCCGCCGCGGCTTCGCCCGGAAATTTGGGCCAGAGCGCACCACGGGGTAGGTTCGAGGAGGAGGAGGAGGAGGAGGAGGTGGAGGAGGAGGAGGAGGAGGAGGAGGAGGAGGGGGAGGGGAAGGTGGCCGAGGTCTGGCGGCGACATCCGAACCCCACCCTCGCCGATCCACGAGTCAAGCGACTCGACGGGCGGCCGGGTCGAGCACGTGGCGCAGTCCGAACCCCACCTCCGCCTTCCTCCGACACGCGCGGAGCGGGGTTATGGGGGAGAGGGGAAGGCTTCTTAGAAGCGCCCTGCTGTCAAGAAGCCTTCCATCCTCCCCCCTACTTATCTCCTTGTGCGCGCCGTCAACCCACCCCGCCTTCCGTTGATTCGGGAAAATCGACAGTTGGCGAGGAGAGGGTTCGGATGTCCCTTCTATGAGGTGGAGCAGTTCCTGCGGGGCTGCGCGCTGGAGAGATACCTGCCCAGATTTCAGGAGCTCGGCTTCGACGACATGGCCTCGATAGACGGCATGCGGGAGGATCGGCGGCGAGCGAGGGGGGGAAGGGAGAAGAAGAAGGACTTCTCAGAAGCCCGCGCGCCTTCTGACAAGTTTCCGGTGTGTTCCGAAGACACCTGCCCCGAATCGGGGCGGGCTCAGTTCACTTCTCTCAGAAGGCCAGTGGACTCCCGAGCCTACTGGGAAGGCCCGCTCCCTCTGCTGGCGGCTGTTGGGCCATAACTCGGGCCTCTGGCGACCCGTCGGGACGGTCCGGGCTTCCCCGGAGCGCCCTCCGACGAGGCGCAGCTGCTGGAGCGCATCCCGAAGCTGGCAGACCGCCGAGAACCGACGACGCCGCCCGAAAGCCTCACGGACCTCGAGACCCCTAACTCCCGAAGCTGCCCCCCCCCCCCCCCGGGCGCGCCGCCGGGAGGAGGACATGCGCAGCGAGGTCGGCATGCTCGCCGGGCACGTCCGCAGGCTGCAGCGGGCGCTCGAGGTGCGCCGCGGCGGCGCTGGAGCGGCGCCCGCCGGCGTCGTGCCGCCCCTGGGCGCGGCGCCGCCGCCCGTGTGCATGGCAGGGCAGTCCAAGGCGAAGGGCCTGGCGCCCATCAGCGCCCCCATCATCAGGGGCAGCGGCAGGGGGGATGGGCACAGGGGGGAGAAGAGCCAACGCCATAAGCATCAGTGTGTTGGTGCTCCGACCGGAGTTCTTGGCTCCGCGCTGGGCCCCCTTGGCGGCGCCTCCGGCGCCGCCCCTGGCGCGCTCCGCGCGCCAGGGAGGGGGTCCGGCGCAAAGCCAAGCAATGCGCGCGGTGCGCCACAAGTTTCTGTTTATGCCGTTGTTTCTTCTTTTCACAGGGGGGTGCATCGACCCACAATCGCCGACGGGAGCGCTCGGACTTAAGATCGGAGGCCCCTCGTCGATCTTTCGCTGATGGGAGGCCGACTCCATGTCGACGTGGCCCCCCTATGCAGTTCCCCCCGTTGCCCCTCGCATCAGTCCTGAGCAGATGACCGTGCCCAGTCCGGAGGTGATGCAGGCACAGATACAGGAGCAGATGCTGCAGGCGCAGGCTCTCGCGGCGCAGGCGCAGCAGGCGGAGCAGGCGCTCGCTGCGCAGCAGGCGCTGCAGGCGCAGCAGGCGCTCGCTGCGCAGCAGGCGCTGCAGGCGCAGCAGGCGCAGCAGGCGCTTCAGGCGCAGCAGGCGCAGCAGGCCATGGAGGCGCAGCAGGCGCTGGAGGCGCAGAAGGCGCTCGAGGCGCAGAAGGTTCATGGGCATCGATACGGGGGATAGGCTCAGGGGGGAACGCATCGGCACCCAATCGCCCATGGATCGCCGATCGGGGCCCGACTGCCCTACCCGCCCGACGCCCCCCCTGGCAGGTGCAGCAGGCGTCGAAGCCGCAGAGCTTCCAGGCGCAGGTTGGGCAGCCAGTGCTGCCCTCGAAGGAACCGGTGAACCCTGAGGCGCAGTGGGAGCACGACGTGCTCCTCGCGCTGGCGCAGATGGCGCAGGAGTCCCTGCAGCTGGGCGCGTTCGCGGCCGTCTTCTGCAACCTCGCAGACACGGACGCCTCCCTGCTGCCCTCCG